CTTTGGACGAAAGAAGTAGAGGAACCGGAAGTCAAAAACAGCTACCAGTATGTTTTTGAGCTGCGTGAGAAGTTGGAAGGAACCCTTAAATTAGCCCACAGTCAGTTACAGAAGGCTCAGGATAAAGGAAAGCACTATTATGATCGCAAGACTACAGTCAGAAAATTTCAGCCAGGTGAGAAAGTTCTTGTGCTACTACCAACTGATCACAATAAGTTGCTGATGCAGTGGAAGGGTCCTTTTGAAGTGACTTCAGTAGTAGGCCTTAACGACTACAGGGTTAAAGTGAAAGGAAAGGAGAAAGTTTATCACGCGAATCTCCTCAAGAAGTATTTTGAAAGAGATGAAGCTACCACAGAAGGAGCAGTAGCAGTGGTAAAAGCAGGTGATCATTTTAAGGAAGATATGCCCTGTGAAATTGAAGAATGTGAAGTAAAGGATGCGGAGGATGATGATAATGTTGATTTCCTAGAGATCGGTTGCTATGATGCTAAGGAATCTATTGCAGATGTTACCACCGGGTCAAATCTCACTGACGAACAGCGTTCTGAGTTTATGGACCTAGCCAATGAGTTTTCAAGTCTAGTTACCGAGGCACCAGGTACTACAGACCTCGCCCAGCATCACATCAAACTTACCTCAGATGAGCCTGTTCGGTCAAGACCATATCCAGTTCCTTACAGCATGAGGGAGTCGTTGAAGAAAGATATCGCCTATATGATTAAAATGGGAGTTATTAGGGAATCTGATTCACCCTATGCGTCGCCTGTTGTCGTAGTGAAGAAAAAAGACAGTACCAATCGAGTCTGCGTTGACTATCGGAAGCTAAATAAGCTGACTGTTATTGACCCTGAACCCATGCCGACCGCGGAACACCTGTTCCAGAAGCTGAGTGGTGATAAGTTTTTCACAAAGATTGATCTCAGCAAGGGCTACTGGCAGATTACCATACCTGAGGAGGATATTCCGAAGACTGCGTTTGTAACACCGGACGGTTCCTACGAGTTCTTAAAGATGCCGTTTGGAATGATTAACTCTGCAGCAACCCTGAAGCGAGCTATGAAGAAATTAATTGAAGATTTAGACAACGTCGATTTTTACTGGGACGATATATTGGTTCATACACGCACCTGGGAAGAGCATATTAAAGCCCTCCGAGAGTTGTTTGCACGTTTATTGAGAGCTGGGGTGACTAATAGACCAACTAAGTGTATTTTCGGAGCGAGTTGCGTTGATTTCTTGGGTCATCGCCTAGAACAAGGAGTGCTTGGTCTACACGAGGAGAATGTCGAGAAGATTAAGAATGCGCCAAGGCCAGGTACAAAGAAGCAAGTTCGTTCGTTTGTTGGTTTGGCCGGATATTACAGAGACTTTATCCCTAACTTCGCAGCTATTGCAGTTCCCCTATCGGACCTGACACGCAAGGGTCAACCAACTAGAGTCGAGTGGGGTCAAGCACAAGAGAAGGTATATCAGACCATCAAATTTCATTTGACGAATGAGCCAATTCTTCGCCTTCCAGACCCAGTGAAAACGTACTACTTGCAAACGGATGCATCAAATACCGGAATTGGTGCCGTATTAATGCAGAAGCATGATGAGAAGCTGTTCCCAGTTTGCTACGCAAGCAAGAAATTGTCAAGTGCAGAAAGGAACTATTCTACAATCGAGAAAAAGTGCCTAGCAGTAGTCTGGGGTATCAAGAGATTTCATCTTTATTTGTACGGAGTTCCATTTGTTCTGCAGACGGATCATGAACCCCTAAAGTATATGAACAGTGCTAAGTTTGCGAACGGACGTCTTATGCGTTGGGCTATGTTTTTGCAAAGTTATACATTCAGAGTTGAAGCCATCAAAGGATCAGAGAATGTTGGAGCGGATTTTCTTAGTCGAGTGGAAGAGTAACGTGAGAGACACCGGACTACCCCTGTTGTTCATTAGCTAACAATTTTTCTGTTGTATTGGAAATTTAGGAAATTTCTTCTGAAAGGGGGTTATGTTACGAAAAATTGTATTGCGTGACTAGCGTGACTTTCTAGAAGCTTCGCAGAGAGTTCATAGTTTGTTTATTTTAGGATCTTGCGTAAGCGTTTCTAAAGCGGTATATTTTGTAATCTTTCTATAATTAGACTATTTAGAAAGTTCTAGAATCTTATTGTAAAAGTATATAAGCAGGCCAGCTCGAGTTAAGTTTTAACTAGTTTTGACAAGCGAGGAGAGTTCGACGTTGGTCGTGTTTAGTCAAGTGTGACGGAAGCAGTGTTTATTCACGTTGGCGGAGGCCGTGTAAGTTTATCAAGTTAATTGAAGTTGGCGGAGGCCGTGTAAGTTTATAGAGTTAAGTGCTGTTGTGGAGTTTTACTTCGTGGAAACTACGTTCATTTGTGGAATAAATCTTCTTGTTGCTGTTCCGACAACCCTGCGTTCAGTTTGGTTTGCAAGCTACCCGTCCTCTAAAAGATTACCCGCGTAACAGAGGCACTGTTTTTATCATACAGAC